CCCCCTGCCCGCCCCCCCCGGCCCCCCGAAAACCCACCCCAAAGCTGGCTGCCCCCGCCCCCCTGCCCCAGCCGAGGTCCTGGCTGTGCCAGGGCAGCGTGCCATCCCCTCTGATGCGGCTGTTTCCATTGCAGGGCTTGCCCGGTCCCCAGGGCAGCATAGGGCTGCCTGGCCCCCCTGGCCCCCCCGGCCCGGGGGTAGGTATTTGCAGCCCCCTCCCGACCTGCCCCTTGGCCGTTCCTGGTTCCCCGGGCTGCCACTTGATTTCTGCTCGTGTCTCCCTTGCAGGGCCCACCGGGTGTCCCCGGGCTGCCAGGACAAGTGGTGAGTGTGTTGTCCCCTCCTGCCCAGCTGCCATCAGTGTGGGCGCTCGGGGCTGCTTGGGGGGCTGTGGGACCACCAGCCCTGCTTTTACCACCCGCAGGGGGAGAGCGGGAAGCCGGGCGTGCCGGGCAGGGACGGCGTGCCGGGGAAGGACGGCGAGGCGGGGATGCCTGGGAAGATGGTACGTTGCTGCTCACCCCGTCCCATCCCAGCGAGAGCCCCGTGGGGCTCAGCCTGGGGTGTCTGCAGCTGAGGCTGAGGGTTGTGCTGCTTGGGCCAGGGCATGCCGGGACCTTCAGGCCCTGCCGGTCCCAAGGGAGAGCCAGGGGATGCCGGAGCCCCAGGGCAGGTGAGTGCAGAGCTGCCTCCGCAATGGCTGGGAACTACCCTGGCGTTCCTGGGCTGGGATGAGGGGGAGCATCCCCATGCAGCCCTGCTCACCTGCCCCCTCTCTCCTCTGTGCCCCAGGCCATCGCTGGCCCTCCTGGAGCCAAAGGCGAGAAGGTAAGGAGCCAGGGTGCGAGGCGGGGGGACCTCCACCCCTGGGTGCTGCCGAAGCCACCAGGGCTGGGGCAGGCAGGGGTCTGCAGGGTGCTGTCACCTGCTGCGGGCACGCCTGAGCACCCGTGTGTCGCTGCAGGGCGAGCCGGCGCTGCTGGAGGGCATGCTGCTGGGAGAACCTGTGAGTTGGCCCCATTAACCTTATCCCCCCCATTAACCTTATCCCCCCTATTAACCTTATCCCTCCTGCCACCCAAGGGTGACCGAGGCTTGCCGGGCCCCAAGGGCGAGAAGGTGAGTGCCGCCCCGGGGGGCGTGGGGAGGGGGCTGTGGGAGCCCTGGGCTCCCTGGCCACAGCGGGGGGGATCCGGCCACAGCCGCTGCCCCGGTGCGTCATCACACGCCCCTGCTTTTTGCTTATTTCCCTCTGCCAGGGAGAGCAGGGAAGATTCGGGGAGCCGGGAGATCCCGGGGAAGACGTGAGTAGGAGGCACATGGGGGCCGGGGGGTGGATGTTGGGGGCAGTGGATGCTGTCGGGGGCTGGGACCTGTGCCCTCGTCACCTACCGCACAGCCCTTCCCGGTGGCTTGGTGTCTTCACAGGGAGCCAAGGGGTCCTCCGGAGCCAAAGGGGAGAAGGTAAGTGTCCCCTGCTCCCAGGGGCGCTCCCCAGCCCTGGGGGGCCGCTGCGGGTGGCACGGTGCCCCGGCCCCCCTGTGCCTGCCAGCCGGGGGATGTGCCATGTGCTCTCTGCCACCACGCAGGGATCACCGGGTGTTGGTGTGCGGGGACCACCAGGACAGGACGGGCCTCCGGGTCTGAAGGTAACCCCTGTCCCCATGTCGCCCTGGCTCTCACCACATCCCCAATGCCTGGGTGCTGCCCTGGCTTGGCTGGCCAATGGAGAAGCATGCTCCTAAGGCACTGGGTTCATGGGCTCCATCTTTTTCCTCCCTGCTCCAGGGTGACATCGGCTTGCCAGGACCACCAGGGCCCCCAGGCTTAGCAGGCATCGCTGGGACACCGGGACAGCCAGGCCTGAGAGGGGACAATGGGCAGCCTGGCCCACCGGGTCCCCCAGGAGAGAGGGTAAAGGCTACGGCCAGCACCTGGCCTCACTGGTCCCAGTGACCCTGGACCCTTGGACAGTGTCAGTGGGGTCCCTGCAAGCCCCATTGCCTGCCAGCCGCAGTCCCTGCCTGCTCACTGGTGTTTGCCTGCCAGGGTCTGATCGGCTTTCCCGGGAGAGATGGCACCTCCGGACCACCGGGACCTGCGGGGCCCCCAGGGCCAGCCGTGAGTATGGGGCTCCAGTGCCGCAGCGTTCCCGGGGGTGCAGGCTCTGCCCTGGCTCCCGCACCGGCTCGGGCAGGGTGACGGGGTCCCACCCTGCACCTTCCTGGCCCCTGGGGCTGGGGATTGCCGGGGGCTCCGGTGAGGGGGTGGAAGCCACTGTGGGAGCCCCAGGGATGCTTCATGGGGCGCTTGGCATCACCTTCCTCCCGTGGCTCGCTCACCCCCTCTCCTTTCTTTTAGGGCATACAGGGGGCCTCTGGCCTGAAGGGTGACAAGGTAAGATGGGCGGCAGCTCCTCTTGTGGGGTGTCCCTGCTGCAGCCACCCCCCGGGGGATGCCGAGTCCACTCTGGATGGTGGCCCATGGGAGCCTGCTCTGTGCCAGGCATCCGGGGAGGTGGCAGGGACTGTGGGGTGTCCCCTGGCATGGCAGGGGACATGGCATGGCCGGGAGGAGCGGTGGGCAGCAAGGACAGGGATGAGCTCTTGCCTTCCCCCTGGCAGGGTGTGCCGGGGGCTGGACTGCCGGGAGCCAGAGGCGAACGTGGAGACCCAGGGCCACGGGTAGGTACTGCCACGGCCCTGCCATGTCCCCATCACGGCCCCCCGTGTCTCCACCACTGGGGATGGGAAATCCCACGGTGCCAGCCCTGAGGGGATGGTGAGCCAGAGCCACGCCTGTCCCCGGGGTGGGGTGATGCTGGGGCTGCCCCATCCCAGACCCCCTTCTCACATCCCTTTCTTCTTGCAGGGTGAAGATGGGCGCCCAGGGCCAGAAGGGGATCGCGGGCCGGCGGTAAATACCCCCCTCCCTGGCTGCACCCCTATCCGGGACCCTCCGTGACCACCCCTCTCCTCTCTCCCGCAGGGCTTGCCTGGGAACCGGGGGGAGCGTGGGGACAAGGTAAGGGGCTCTCGGGGCTGGAGAGCCGGGGAGGTGAATGATGCACCCCCAGGGATCGGGGTCCCCAGGGAGGTGCTGCCCGCTCCCCGCTGTGCATCCTTGCAGCATCTCACCATCTCCCCTTCCTCACAGGGAGACGCTGGGGCCCCGGGGCCCAAAGGAGACAAGGTGAGTCCCTGGGGTGGGGGGCAGCGGGAGGGAGGGCAGCAGCGCTGGGCCCCCTGCTCACCCCCACTTCTCTCCTTCGGGTGTGCAGGGCGATACTGTGGTGGTGGAGGGGCCCACCGGAGCGCGGGGCAGCAAGGGGGAGCCGGTAAGAGCTGTCCCCGTCCTCCCTGTCCCCATCCTCCCTGTCCCCCTCTGCGTCGTCCCTCTTGTCCTGATGGGCAGGGACCCTCCTGTGCCTCCCCCTCCCCAAGGCCCTGCCTGCCCTGCTCCTGGCACAGGGCAGCTCCCAGCCCTGCGGGTTTGATCCTGCACCCCCTCTCCCGAGTGGCACAGGACAGCCCCCCACCCCTCTGCCTGCCAGAAGAGCGGGGGGGGGCTTCTTGCTGCCGAGGGACCCTCCCTTGCAGAGCACCTCATCCCCTCTCCTTCAGCCAGCCTACAGACCCCCGTGTCCCTGTGCCAGGGGGGTCTATCCTCCCCACCCCGACGTGTGTCTGAGCGTCTCCCCGTCCCCTGACCCGTCCATCCCTGTGTTTCCCGCTTTGCAGGGAGAGCGTGGTCTGAAGGGCACGGAAGGGGACAAGGGGGACAAGGGGGAGCAAGGCATGCCTGGAGAGAAGGTACAGGGCTGGGGGGGCTTGTGAGGGTCTGGGAGCTGCTGGGTTGGGGACCGTGGAAAGCTGTTGATGGGGCAATGGACAGGGACCAGGGCATGATGGCATCCCTGTGCCCCATGTGCTGTTGCTTGCAGGCACCCTGGCATGGTGCTTGGCACCCCAGCACGGGGAGCTGCCAGAGCTGGCCTCGGAAGTCACCACGGCTGTGCTGTGGCCATGCGGTGGCCAGAGCTCTCCCTCCTGCCCTGTGTCAATCTGGGTTTCTGCTTGCAGGGGGCAAGGGGTGAGCAAGGCGAGAAGGGCTCCACGGGCTTCCCTGGGGCACGCGGCCCCGGTGGGCAGAAGGTAAGGACCTGGGCACCCGCCACTGCTGAGGGGTGCTGGGGCACTGTCCCCCTCACCTGCCCCGACCAATGCCTTTGCCTTCCCCAGGGAGAAGTTGGAGCGTTGGGAGAGCCCGGTGAGCCGGTGAGGAGCCGCGTCTCGGTGCCGCTGCCACCCCGCCGCAGGGCAGGAGTGGACCCCATCACACTGTCTTGTCTCCCGCAGGGCCAGCCTGGCCGTGATGGGATCCCCGGAGCCCGGGGAGAGAAGGGGGACATGGGACCCCTGGGCATGCGTGGCCCCAAGGTGGGTTGGCCCCTCTGCCTGCCAGTGGTCTCCTGGCCAGGACCCGCACCGGCTCAGCATGGCTCTCACTCCCCTCCTCGTCCTCACAGGGTGATCGGGGCATGAAAGGCGCCTGTGGCATTGATGGGGACAAGGGTGAGAAGGTGAGTGGGTGCACATGAGGTGCTGCAGGGGCCTGGATGTTGCCTGGAGGCTGTGGCCCTTTGGATCCCCTCCGCCAGCTATGGGGAACAGGGAGATGGCAGAGGCCAGAGCTCAGCCCTGCGGCTGGGGCATGGGGTCCCCTCCTCTGCCCACGGCTCTGGGGTGAGCATTGAGGGGCTCAGGACTGACTGCCCTACCTCTCTCCTGCCTGCTGTAGGGAGAGCCAGGGATCCCAGGGCGCTCAGGGCTGCCGGGGAGGAAAGGCGAGCCGGTAAGCACCGCGCTGACACTGGAGTGGGATGGGAACATGTGGCTGGTGGCTGATGGACATCTGCTTTGTCCCCCAGGGAGAGCTGGGTTTGTCCGGACCACCAGGCATCCCCGGGAAGGAGGGGCTCATGGGACCCAAGGTAGGTCAGGGCGGTGCTGGGAAAAGCTGTGCTGGCACTTCAGCCCCCCGGCTGCCTGTCCCCGGCTGCCTGTTCCTTCCTTTTCACAGGGCGACCGGGGATTCGATGGGCAGCAAGGAGCCAAAGGAGACCAGGGGGAGAAAGGAGACCGGGTGAGTGAGCTGGACAGGGGCGGTCTGCATTGCACCGCGTTGCTTTTACCAGGATCTGGCCTTGGTCAGAAGCACATCAGAGCCAGATGCTCCCAGAAGAGCCATCCAGCGCTGCTCTAAATTATGGCACTGAACTATAAGTGACAACAAATCCCCACTCTTTACAAGAAGCCATTGGTGCTGGTGCTTAAGGGATGCCCAGCGGCAGGGTCGGAGAATGCCCATGGCACCTGCTCTGGGGCCGGGGGGCTCCGACACCCCCAGCCTCACCCTCTGCTCTCCCACAGGGTGCCCCGGGCATTATTGGTGGCCCCGGTCCCCGGGGTAGTGACGGTGCTGCTGGTCCCCCTGGGCCCCCAGGGAACGTTGGGCCACGAGGTCCTGAGGGTATGCAGGGCCAGAAGGTGAGTCCCCACCACAGGTGACCGGGTGCCATGAGGAGGGGAGGGTCCTGTCCCCGGAGAGGGCGAGGGGTTGGTGGCATCAGGAGCCATGTCTCAGCTCTGTCCCTGCCCTGCCAGCTCGCTGGCTTTGGGGTCCTCCCTTGTGTCCCCTTGCCCAGAGGATGGGAGCCTGGGGGGCTGGGACCCTGTTTGTCCTGGGTCTGGGCTGGACCCATCCCCATCCCCATCCCTACCTGCACAGGCGTCCCTGGGGTGCAGAGACGGGGAAAGCGGCACATCCATGGCTCTGGGGAGAGCAGAGAGGCTCCAGAGCCACCAGCCAGATCCTGAGCATGTGTCCTTTGCAGGGGGAGAGAGGCCCCCCTGGACAGTCGGTGCCGGGGGCCCGTGGCGTGCCCGGCATCCCTGGCGAGAGAGGAGAGCAGGTGGGTGAGCGGGTGCCTGGCCCTGCCTGGACGAGCCCCAGCCGGGGCCAGCCTCCCACCTCCCTTCTGCTTGTCCCTAGGGCAGTCCCGGCACCCAGGGCCTCCGTGGGGAGAAGGGGGAGCCGGGCATGATGGTAAGGAGCCAGGAGCAAGCCGGCACAGGCTCGCAGTGCTCAGGTCACTGGGGTGGGAAGGGGTGCCGGATCCATCCCACTGCCACTGATGGTGGGCTTCCCCCACCTCCGGGCTCTGCTGGGGCCTGGGGAAAGGGTTTTTCCTCCCCTCTAATTGCACCATCCCCTCTTGCAACGTGGGTCCTTTGCCCCTCTATGTGCCCGGCAGGAGGAGGAGATCCGCGCCTTCGTCAGGCAGGAGATGAGCCAGCACTGTGGTGAGCATCCCCACCGCTGCCCTGGGGCCGGGGGTCTGGCCCCCGCTGCCCCTGACCCCCCCCCCCATCTCTCCCGCAGCCTGCGGCGGCCGCTTCCCGCAGCACCTGGATTCACGTGAGCACTCAGGTTGCGACTCTCCCTTCCTACCCCCCTGCCCCTGCCCCACACATGTGGCACCGAAGGGGTCCTGGCACTGAGGTGTGCCATCAATTTTGGGGGTGCTGGAGGTGGCCGGGACCCTCCAGGACCCCCTCAGTCAGGGCCGGCATCAGCACGGGACCGTGGGCAGGGAGAAGGGATGGTGTGTGGCAGCAGGGATGGCGCAGCAGGGATCCCCAGCGACAGCTGGCTCGGGATGGTTTCAATGGGGTCCGAGCGCTGCCAGGGTCTGCCCGATCGAGAAGGGACCACGGGGACTGCGCCCTGTCCGTGCTCGGGTGCCAGAGCTGGGGCAGGCGGGCTCGCAGAGGCCAGGACTGCCGGACGGGAGGGTGGGCTGGAGGAGCGGGATGGAGGGACAAGGGCAAGGGGTGGGCTGGGATGAGGTGGGTGCTTTCTCTCCAAGGAGGCTGGGGGGCTCAGGCCAGGAGCAGCCTCCACTCTGCCCAGGGAGGAGGAAGAAGCATCCGCCAGGAGAGGGAGCACAGCCAAACAGGTGATGGAGAGCCTGGAGGACCTACAAGATCTGGCCCCATGGGCACATGTGCCTCCCTGTGCCCATCATCATCCCCGTCCCTATCCCCATCCTGCTGGGCTCCCAGTGGGTGCTGTCTCACTGGGAAGCAGCTCCTCCTGCCTGTCCCTCCTCTGGGAGCCCCGGTCTATGGTGCAGAGAGAGGAGGGGATGTCCCCAGGTCCCCCATCACTGGCCGTGTACCCCAGCACACTGCAGCAGTGCCGGGGCAGCACTGGGCTGCTCTGCACCTGCAAGGGGTGGTTTCCCACCGGGAGGCAGGGGTGAAGCACCCTGGGCCCCCTCGCCTCCTCCCTGATGCCTGCACCATGTCCTTCCCCCTTGCAGGCGCTCATGCAGTCCCTGTGCTCAAGTTGTCACATGCTGAGGAGGAGGAGGGTGAGTGTCATCCCTGTGCTTTTAGTCCCCGTCCCCCTTTTCCCCTGCTCCATGTGTGTGTGGCCGGTCATGTCCCTGCCCTCTGCTCACAGGCACTGACGGGTAATCCATCAGTGCCGCCGGTCCCAGGGAGCTTTAATTAAAGAGGAGAGGGCAGCAAGGAGTGCGTGTGCACACGTGTGTGTGCGTGCAGGCGTGCACAGGGGTGTGCTGTGTGTGTGCAGGCGTGTGCGGAGCCAGGGCCGTGGCTGGGGGGAGCAGGATGGAGGGGACAGGGGGGGAGGCGAGGGCTGCTTACGCCTGGTGCTGTCTCCCAGGGCAGGACAGGCGGGTCATGCTCGACACCGACGACCTTGACTATGAGAGCATGTACGGGGAGGAGGAGGACTACGATGAGGTCCCAGAGATGGACAGCTCGGAGCAGCCCGTGATGGGCGGTGAGCTTCCCTGCACCTGCCTGGCACCCAGGAGCACGCTCACCAGGGGCGACCGTGGGGCTGCCCGGGCTTTGCTGGGGTGATGGCTCCACAACCCCACCTGGCACGTGTCCCCGTGCCCTTTGGCTTGGGGGGATTTGGGATTTGCAGCCCTCTCGCTGGCACACAGGCAGGGTGCGCGTTCCCCATCACAGCACTGTGCCGCGCACGCTGTGCAGACCTCGTGCTCCGTGTCCCTCACCAAAGCCGTCACCGGCAGTGACGGGTGGTTTGCTGGGCCGGTGGGACCTGCTGCCCCCAGCAGGTTTCCTCTGCTCCCAGTCATGAGCCACAGGAGGGGATCTCGAAGCCCCCAGCAGAGCAGGGAAGCCCCAGTGGCAGCAGCAGCATGCAGAGGATCCCTCCGGTACCCTTCCAAGGGATGCTGTGGCCATCACGTCCCTGTGCCACCTCCCTCCCAGCTCTATCTCCAGCCTTTGCTGGGACCTGTCCCTGGGAGAGGGCTTGGCCGGAGCAGCGTCTCCTGCCCTCACTCCCAGCACTTGGGCAGGGCATGGAGATGGCTCCTCCAGCCAAACCCTGCTGGCACTCAGCCGGGAGCCATTCCCTGCCTTCCCCTTCTGGGGTTTCTCCTCCTCTGCCAAGCGGGTCCGGCTGCCTCCACCGCCAGTGTGTTGCCGGCTCCCCCCCTCCCCCCCCCCTT